CATAATTGCGTAGTATAATTTCTTAACTTATAATTTACAATGTACAATTACATCGAGATTTTCGATTGCAGATTTTCAAACAGTATTGCTGAAGGAAAAAAGAAAATTTATATTTAATGAATATGATAAATTAATAACGATAGAATTAAGATTTTAACTTTATCAAAAACGATATAAAATCGGAACGAAAACTACGAATGATGATATTACCAATATATCTCTATTTTCAAAAAACATCTTCCAAACTTGTTGGTCATGAACGTAAACATTGAGTTATACATATATGTTATATACATATAGAATTTTTATTTATAATATATATTTACTAATTAATTACTAATTACTAATTATTGGTTTACAGAATTAATTCAAGATAGTTCAAATGCCATTACTGAGATGAATATGTGGTATAGCAATTTGAAAATATCTCGCTTGCGCGGTTAAAAATCAAGAATTAAATGATTTTCTAGTATCGCTCGCGTCTAGCATTTCTGTAAAGTATGTACAATATTTTTTATAAGCAGTTAAGAAAAATATTTTTTTCAAGTTATAAATATTGATACAATTTTACAGAACATGGAGAGAAATATGCGAAGCGTACGCGCAGCAATTAATAAGTCAAGGCAATGTGAGGAAAGCAGTGTCATATTTTCCTTTGTCTAGACAAAATTCACGAAGCCATACAAGCATTTTTAAATGCTAATATGTTTAAAGAGGCTTACGTGCTTGCGAGATACAAATTGGACATCACTGATCCGGTTTTAGAAAACATATTAGAATTATGGTCGGAATGGTGTCTTTTGAATGATCAAATGGAGCAAGCTGCTCATTGGTAAAATAATTAATTTTATATAATTATTGATAATTATTATAAATTTTTTATATTATTTAGTAAATAAAATTATATATTGTATAATACTAAATAATTTTACGTTTGTTATATATATTATATATAAGTTTATATATAATTTTATCTAACAATTATATATATATATATATAATATATATATGTATGCATATAAATCTACAATAAATATCTATAAATGTATATTCTATATAATATAAAATGTATATATAATATATAAATTCTTTCATACATTATGTATAATATATATTACATAATAAATATCTCTATACATATAATATATAATGTATTTCGTAATAACAATTACTTATGCAATTGTGCGGCAACATAATAATATTGTTTTACATAGCCTATGTAATTAAAAAATTATTATTGTAAATTTAATATTGCATATATTATAGTTATGTAGAGTTGAAACGGTACAAAAAGGCGGCAAAAATTCTTGCTCGCCGGAAAGACATACATTATTGGAGGTAGCGTCTCAATTATAGCATTTCTAAACGGTGATGAAGAATATGGAATATCTTTGATTGTGGACGCGATGATATGTGCTCTTGTCGAATCAGACTGGTCGAAAGCGCGTTCCCTTATCGCGAATTTCAACAAATTCAGGTAAATTTATATTAAACATATATAGATATAGAATTTATTTACAATATCAAACGTAACTTATAAAATAGAAATTATAAAATATAAATTATAAAATATAAATGACAAATATAAAATAAAATTATAAAATATAAAATTAAAAAATAACTATAAATATAAATTATAAAATATAAATTATAATATAAATTATAAATATAAAATATAAATTATAAAATATGAATTATAAAATATGAATTGTAAAATATAAATATAAATAAAATTATATAACTATGTCTAAATTATTTCTAAATTTATAAAATATTAAATATTTTGTATCATCTGCAGTGTTTAAATGTACATATAGATGTTTATGAGGCCATTATGGAGAGCAAATATGGAGAGCAAACTGAGTTTGATTTAATGCAGACGTGGTTGAAGAAAAGCAACGGACTGTTACAAACTCTTCGAATAAAATACTGTTCAGTTAATATGGCTTCTTACTATAACGCCTTGTGCAAGAATAAAAACAGCATCGCTAATTTAAAAAATGAAACAGAAGAAACAATGGTAAAAAGAGAAACAGAAATTAATATGAAAGATATATATTCTAAATAATACTTTCAACATTATAACAATACTTGTAATTAATTGAAATGACGTTTTCTCAGATGAAATTGAATGTTAGTTATGAAATCGCTAAAGCAGTTACATGCGACGAAGAAGAGACTCGATTGAAACTTTGGCAACAGTATTAGCTGGCGTATTCTATGAGGAAATGGCATGTAAACGCGGAAATGACACAAATAACAAATTTTTCATTTATTTCTCACGATACTAGATAATAGAAAACCAACGGAGAAGGGCAGCATTTATGCGAAAGCAATTATCCCGTATCTCAAAGTATACGAGCTTACTTATGTATCGGTATTCTGGATTGGATGCTTAATTATTTGGACAAGTTGTTAGCCGAGGAAGAAACACAATTTGTGGATTTACTATTAAATTTGCTTAGCGCTGTCATAAATAAAGCGGTTTTCTCTCATCAAGATCGAATTGATAGACTTATTAACCTGGAGAACCAAATTTCGAATATTTTTTGTTAGTTTTTTCTTTTTTAATTTTGTAATTTGTTATAAATTCATATAGCATATGCGTATTAATTGCATATATAATTATTGATTTGCTAATAATTACATATAGCGTTGATTTGTTCCAATTTAATATTTTTTATTTTTTACATATAATTTACATTTTAAATATTGCAGTGACTTTCAATACTGATGCCGATGAAAATGATATGTATAAGAAAATTGAGGAGGAGATCAATAAACTGAAACTTGAGGAAATGGTATTCAGAGAGAAACGACTTTACATACCGAATTCCAAATTTATTTTCAATAAAGCTCGTTCACTTGTTCACAAATTAAGTAATGTTAATCATAATCGATTTTTACATACTTTATCAGAACTGTCTGAACAGTTAAATAGTTAAAAGCAGACGAGATATAATTTATCTGTATCAAGAAAGTTTGTCAAAAAAGTTTGAGAATAACTCAGAAAATACAATATAATTATAACAATCTTATTAGCTCACATGAACTATAAAGTAAAACATGCAAGCAGAAAAATATATTAACGGTTTTACATTTATTAAAAATCGTCAAATGTGTTGTTACAAATTATACGTGTAAATTTTTGATTATTCTAAAGTAAAGTTTATAAAAATATATTTTCTGTTCATGATTTTTTTGTCAACTTATCATAAATATTTCAAAAATAATGGTAGCCATTGCAAAGACTACCCTGATCTATACGTCATCTATACATATATTCTCTCATACATATTGTATATATATTTATTCATTTATTGGTGATAATTTTTTATTAAAATAAAAATGATAAATTTAGATTGCAATCTGATTTATTAATGCATTCATTCTAAATTAAATAATATATTAAAATAAAATAATATAATTATATATATATAATATATATATATATAAGTATATATATTATACATATATAATTAATTTTAATATTTAACAAATAAACGATGCATTAAAATTTGCGTTACAATTAAAATAAAAAATTGCGGAAAAGTTTTTTTCCGATATTTTGCTATTTAAATTCGAGAATATTTTCTTAATCATTTTTCGAACAGAACATCGAAGATATGACAATTACGAAATTAAGAGAAATCTCAAATTTAAAATACAATTTAAATTTCACTAATAACCCGAATGATTAGTGCATCGATTTTAATGAAAACTAACTTTTATTAGTATTTATTAAAATAATTTATTAAAATAAAATAAATTTTAAATTAAAATTTAATTAATTACAATTTAATTAATTTTGATAAAACATCAAAACAAATTTTTGTTCCGCGCAGAATAAATCGATGTCACATAAAAATTAATTTTCAAAATAAATCAAATAAAATTAATTTTCAGTGGAAAATTAAATTTCAAATAAATCAAATAAAATCAATTTTTATTGAGACAATGGCATACTATAGTCCACTCTTGTCAGTTTATTTTAAAGATATGATTTGAAAATCTAATAAATATTGTATACGAGTGTTTTGCCTTTGCCAAGAAAGACCCAGTCAGCGGAGCTGCATAAAAAACCGTGTTGCAGTAATATTGGTAAAGAATCGTTGCTACCTGGGATACGATGTAACGTCAAAAGATAACCATCCTCCGTCGTTACAACATGAGCTTCTGCGGGATAACCCGCTCTCCTTATCATTTCCAACTAGAAAAAAGAATCGATAAAAAAGGCGTTCTCAAAACTGAAAATCTAAATATAATATAATTTATGCGATAAAATTCGTACGAATTTATTTTCTAAATAATAGAACCATTTTCTACATTAAATATGCAGAATGCATTTTATTTCTGCATTAAACATCAATATCTAATAACTTAATATGAAAGAAATAATTGTTGAAAAGTCAAAATATAATCAGAAAAAGGTCATTAATAATATAACTATCTAAAATATGTCGGATAATTTTTTTTAGAAAATATTATATTTGCATAATTAAGTTTGATAGAAATTATTTCAAACATGAATTTTGGATAATCAAACTTTTCTTCACATGTATATATATCTCTCAAGCCAAATGATACTTTTAAAATAATTTTAAATATCAATAAGTTTACAATATATATAAATATGCATATTTATTTTTAATTATTTTAAATAAATTATCTGGAATATTTTTATTTACATGTATATTGTTTTAGTTAGAAAAAGATTATATTTAATGACAATTAAAGACAAATGACATTAATATTAACGATATATGAATATACATAATTAAATCGAAATTAAAATATTAAATTTAAGAAACAAAAATTTAAATTTAAAAATTAATTAAATTTAATTAATATAATTTAATTTAATTTTATTATATCAAAATTAAAATATTAAATTTAAGAAACAAAATTTAAATTTAAGAAATTTAAGAAAAGATATGAATATTATTGTTTTGATCATTATTTGCATTGTTCCAAAAAAACTTGACTAATCACAATCAAATATTCTTATTTAATTAGTTTAATTAATAACGTCTCATCCTCTGCTATTATTCTATTTCGATTGCTCACTAACAAGGGAGCTCTTTCTAATATTCCATCATGTGCGGAAAGAGCGCCGTTTCGCGCGCCGGTTGCACAAAAATAGTTGTGAAAACTCTTAAATATAATAAGAGTAAAGAGCTTTTTTAAAATAGAGAACTTAAAAATGCAAAACTGCAATTTATTTATTATTTACGAGAAATTATCAGACTATTAATAAATATTTATATATATATATAATATATATATATATATATATATATATATAATCAAACATAATAAAATAAAACATAGTATTACGAAATCGCGAAAATATTTTTTGCCAAATGTTTGGAAAGTTCCTGTTTATGTGATGAGTCCATCAAGTAAATAACAAAAAGTTAGAACTAACTAATCTCCATAATGACTGCTATATTTTTAGTTATAATGTATAATCTTTGCTATCAATGCTAAGCAATTATTGCTGTTTTAATTATCAATTTACTGCAGAAGTCATATTATATTAGCTCCAGAATCATAATTACCCCCAAACAAATATTTTAAAAAATATAGAAAATATTAAAAAATGTTTCAGACAAAAATTTTATGGCTTCGAAAGGAACATAATACCATATCTCTTCGAAGCCATTAAACTTTGTCTGAAACATTTATTCATCATCTTCCATACTTTTTAAAATATTTGCCTGGAACAATTAAAGTGAATCATCCTGTACATAGAGTAGAAATTTATGTTTATTAACTAGAATAAAAATATCATATTGCTATAAATATAATTTTATCAAAATCACAATCACAACCTTTTCACTATTCGAGTAGCTAATGGACAATCAAAGGTTTGGGCGTATATAAAAAACTTAGTCTTAGCATGCTAATGTTTTAGCTATCAAGCATACACCGTAATGTATATAGCTATTTATGTTAATATACACTTTCAATTTCAGCTAATAAATTTCCATATCACAGTAAATATTTTGTAACTATAATAGCCAAAACTTAGTCATGATACTAAGGCGATAGCTCTGTAGCTAAGTTTGATTCAGTTATTGAAATTTAGCTTCTATTGCTAAGTCTTTTTTACACACATTTTTGCACTACTCAAAATTTTATAATTTTCTAAACAATGTGATAATCAAGCTCATATATACGTATAAACGTTGAGCGTCGTTCTAGACATCAAGAGACACGGTAGTGTCTCGCGACCAGTTAAGGGCGTAGCGGAGAGACCGTGTATCTTTAACGCGAGTCGAACATTTGAGTCTTTATAATATTTCGAATCCTCAATAATGGCTGAAGCAATCGAGTTTATACTAGACTTAATCGATAGATTGAGTTCGAATTATATAATAAAAGTGTCTTTATTTCTGCTCTACTGATTTTTAAGCAGAGATATATAAATGCAAAGTCGAAATATGAAAAATTTCTATTAAGAAACGTCCCGTCATCATTATAATCTCTAAAAACTCACCTTTAAAAAAAGGTAAAAAAAGGCGACCAGTTAAGGGCACGCCATTAACAAAAATTATCCATTGCAAACCCATGTAGAATCCTATCCTATTGCAAACCCATGTAGAATCCTATGAAAAATTAATCATTGCAAACCCATGTAGAATCCTAGGCAAAATTAACCATTGCAAACCCATGTAGAATCGTACCCATTGCAAACCTATGTAGAATCCTATGAAAAATTAACCATTGCAAACTCATGTAGAATCCTATGAAAAATTAACCATTGCAAACCCATGTAGAATTGTATTAAAAATTATCCATTGCAAACTTATGTAGAATCCTACATTGCAAACCCATGTACAATAGAATTGTATGAAAAATTATCGATTATAAACCCATGTACAATCGTAACAAAAGTAATGAAATAAAAAAAAAATTGCGCCAAGTGAAAGTAGAAACTTGTACCAGTGGAAAATTAAAGTTGCAGACATATATAGAGTCGTATAATGAATCAGTAAAAATTTAAATTTGCAAATGTAGAATCGTACCATAAAAAAACTTATCTTTTAAAAAAAAAGATAAACAAGATGCCAAGTCCATGCGCCATGTGAAAAAGAAATAAAAAATTTTAGTTAAAAAAACTGGGCGCGCTGCTAAGTTTCAAAATTACAATGCACCTTAAAGTAACATTAATTAATTTAAACACAAAACATATTTTAACTGTAATGAGTTTAAAAGTAACAATTTAATTTTAATATTGTTAGAATATTATTTAGCAGCGCTCCCAGTTTTTTTAACTAAAATTTTTTTATTTCTTTTTCACATGGCGCATGGACTTGGCATCTTGTTTATCTTTTTTTTTAAAGATAAGTTTTTTTATGGTACGATTCTACATTTGCAAATTTAAATTTTTACTGATTCATTATACGACTCTATATATGTCTGCAACTTTAATTTTCCACTGGTACAAGTTTCTACTTTCACTTGGCGCAATTTTTTTTTATTTCATTACTTTTGTTACGATTGTACATGGGTTTATAATCGATAATTTTTCATACAATTCTATTGTACATGGGTTTGCAATGTAGGATTCTACATAAGTTTGCAATGGATAATTTTTAATACAATTCTACATGGGTTTGCAATGGTTAATTTTTCATAGGATTCTACATGAGTTTGCAATGGTTAATTTTTCATAGGATTCTACATAGGTTTGCAATGGGTACGATTCTACATGGGTTTGCAATGGTTAATTTTGCCTAGGATTCTACATGGGTTTGCAATGATTAATTTTTCATAGGATTCTACATGGGTTTGCAATAGGATAGGATTCTACATGGGTTTGCAATGGATAATTTTTGTTAATGGCGTGCCCTTAACTGGTCGCCTTTTTTTACCTTTTTTTAAAGGTGAGTTTTTAGAGATTATATCATTCATTTTTGTATATTTTTATGACCGGAATAGAACAATTATTAAACATGTTTATCTAAACTTCTTTGCTTAAAATGATGTGTACAATCATATCCTAGAATCCTGATCAT